AGCACAGAAGAGTGAGAGAACATTTATGGGATTAGTCTGAGCTGGGAATGAGCTCCGAAAGAAACTCTTGACTGCTGCTGGCAGGCAAAGGGTGTGGTCAATGTTGTGAACTGTTTGGCTTCTCGGCAACCAGTTCGGTGGTCAGCTGTGATCACTTCATCTGTTGAAAAGCTTGTCCATTCAGGGACTTGCTTTGCACACTCACGCTTTCACCTTTGATCAAGACCACTTGTCTCCTCATCATCACCTCAACTTAAAGTATTACTTTCTCCTCTTTCTGGGGTTTCTTGTTTGCTGTTTTAAGACAGAAACATAGTTTTTTTTTTTCAATAAGTGAACGGTGTTGAAAAGTAGTTTAATTTTTGTGTCCGAAAAGGAAACTTGCAGCCACTCAACTAACAAACTCAAAGCATTGTTGAGCCTCTAAATGGTCTCTCAGTCTGAGTCAGTAAGCTATACAATCACAAGGAAGACCCATAGAAGAATCACGAGCTTAGAAAAGACAGTTGCGTGAACTTTTCTCTTTTCTGAAAGTGGCTAATTTTGAGACTTCTTCCCTCAATCACAGCATTGCACGATGAAGAGTGTTGGTTTCTGCTGGATCTGACAGCAGACTGCAATCAGATGAAAGAAAATTACTCTAAAACATCTGTTTTCAAATAGTACAAAATGTCCTCCTGGTGTGTGAATGATGTACAGCCAATACAAGACAATCCTCAGTACACTGCACCATTTCATAGCCATAAAAGTTTGATATGAACCAACGAAAACTACAGATACATGAAGTGATGGTGTAAATGGACCAGCATCCCATCAACATATCTTCCTTTAGGTATCACATGTTTGATGAAGTTTGTCTAATGGGTTAGGAAAAATTGATGGAGGAACAGCAAGTAAGATGGCAGTAGAAAAGAGAGGAGGAGAAGTCGTTTCGGAGGCGTCGTCTTGTCATTTCAGCTGTTGTGATTTAAGTGAGCTGCCAACATCTCACAGCTGTGCCACATGCCTTCCTTATTTTTAAACCAGGCCCTTATATCTGAACTTCCAGGTCCAGTCCCCATGTCATTGTTTCTTACAACACACCCCTGTGTGTATATGTCTGTGGCTCCCATGTGTTTTAACCTACATGTGCCAAATCGGCTTGTCTAATTCTGCATACCAACGCCATTGATTGTGTCAGCAGATAGCTATATATCTATATGTAGAAGTACAATGAGGTTCTAATGGACGGTACTGAAGGCTCCTTGAGTCACGAGACTCGAGGAGTGTCACAGGTTTAGGACTCAAGGAGCTCCTAAACCTCTGACAGGTTTAGGAGCAGTTTGCATGTGTGAGGCCCAGTGCTGGCCCAACTGTTCGTAATCGTGACGTGAACATGTTTGGAGACTGACAGAGTGCATTCCACACTGACATGCTGCTGGCTCTGCTGATGGCAACGCCGCGTGAGATGCTGGTCAGCCGAGTGAGGGCTTCAAAAAGAAGCTTGGATTTATTGCAGAGTTAGCTCTGCAGCTTTTTTTGGACTTAAAGCAGTTCACGGTAAATGCAGCTGGATTTTGAGAAGCCACCTAGTCTAAAAGCAGCTCTATAAAAAGCTTTTACAGTACACTAAGGCTTAGTAAGTCCGGCACTCACCCTTCACAAAGACACCACGACATTGCTCTTCTGTTAAGCCTTTAGCAATATTTTTTTTTTGCCTGCGTTGCACTGAGAAGTAGCTTGTATAATGAGCTCAGCAGATGCGCAGCTCCACCGGGTGTTTGCTAATTGCTGCTGGCTAGTCTGAAGGAGTTGAGTGGAGGAAATGGGCAACAAAGACGGAAATGGGAGAGAGGCGAAAACATGGATCTGTTGAAATGCTACTACTCAATTAACCCTAGTCAGAGGGGTTAATTAATCATTCTTCATGCAAAGAATGAAGGAAGAATGGTTACTTTGACGTCCCCAGTCAACACAAACAGCCAAACAACTAGTAGCTCATCCAACATCCACAAACAGTAACTGCTATCAAACTGCAGCTCGAAGGAGGAGCTACGCCTCTAAGGTGGAGCTAAGTCACTTGAGATTAAAGGATTTCTTAAACATTCATGAAATAATCAAAGCAACACTCCAGGTATGTTTTTGTTGAGGGAATAACATTATAACATGATGTAAAGTCAAAAGAAAAGCTGTTTTACATAACACTGTCCCTTTAAAATGTTACAGTACGATAACCAGTAGATGTTTTAGGCTTTGCTATTCACTATGTAGTCAAAAATCTGTGCTATTAGTCTGTTACGAAGCATTTTGTTTTAGATTAGATTAGTGAAGTAATGCCCAATTTTGATTTGCAAAAATTAGAAATCATGATCAAAAGGGCTTCAGCTAGTGAACCTCTAGGTCCTACTTGTCATTAACTGAGCATTTCTGACAAATATTACTTTACCGGTGCCAATTATTTAGTGTACTGGAGACTTAACATTTTTAAATACTGAAGTTCAAATATACAAAAAAATTTTGCCGAGTTAAAAAGTGTCCTATTATTATTTAACTTGTATAATCAAACGGTTTGCATTGTGAGTAGTCATCCCTTGTAGTAGGCATTTCTTAATCCTACTAGTTATCTGCAAACCGTGAGAAGTAATTAGTTTAAACATGTTTTGTGTGGAGAATTTATTCAGAATGCAAGATGAGACTTTTTCAGGTCTTACAAGAAGTACACCAGAAGATGTAGAAAGAAAAGAGGGACGAATAAAATTTTGAAAGTGAGGCATTCTGTGAGAGTGGCGATTGGTCTGGTGAGTGAGTGATGTCCTGGCTCATCCACAGCCCCCATCCTTCCTCTTGCTGTTTGTCCTGCTGCCTCTGTTTGTGTGCTGCGAACCAATCAATATGGAGGAGTTAGCTCTCAGCAGTGTATCAGCTTAGAGCCGTATCGATTAGTCTTATTGATTTTAATCCGTATTATCTTTCGCAGTAAATGCGCCACTCATCTGCTTTCCGTTTTCATCTTCACAATCAAAGCTGGAGGCTTCTCATTACATCCGTGGCTTTAATACGTCTCACGTTCGCTGTGAACGTTAAATTTCAGAGAACGCCCCTCCGCAAAGTTGATTTTTTTTTTCAAACTCACAAAAAGATGGCAAGCTTTAGATAGGAACAAGATCACATCAATAGTGAGGAATGTGAGGGGGACTGCCATCAGCTGTAGCAGCAATATAAAAGAGGACCAGCCCAGCTGAAACCAAAGCTACACTTAATGATGCCGATACAAGCTAGCGTTTGCACTGTGGCACAGCTAGAAGCTAAATGAAGCCTAAAGTTTAAAAATGTAACATATGTGATGACTTGCACTTGTTTTTGTTATGCCATGTGGTAACTATTTTAGCAAATAATCATACAATTCATTTGGCAGATATTCAGGTAAACAATTCTAATGGGTTTGTTTATAACTTCTCAAATTTAATGTTGCTGGCGAAGTTCCATCACTCTCCTTTTTCACAAAACGGTTCCACTACGATGCAGCAAGACAATGGCAATGATCATAATAACGGCACGATGATGTGCTTGATGCACCACTCAGTCATAGTCTTAGTGTATTTTTCCTGAAACCTGCTGGCCAGCTGGCTGAATAGACAGTTTGTCATTCCCACATCACATCTTGGAGCTGCACAGCCAATTTAACGGTTCCATGAGTCACAGAGCCTTTAAACTCTCAGTTGCAGTTAATCTGTTGACTGGGAGGGACTTAAAGGGTAACGATAGAGAAAGTGTGTAATCAGACATTTTGATGGGGAACAGTTGGGTTCAGTGGCCGTTTTTTTTTTTTTTTGCTTTTTAATCTATATCTTCAAGTTAATTTAATGGCAGCCGTATCAAATTAGCCATATCGTTCTATGCCATTTTAGAGGCATAGAACGATATGCATCTTTTATAATATTTTTCAGCTTGACCGTTATGTGTAGCAGCAAAGACACAATTACAACATTGCGTGAAGTCGTGTTACACCATGCATGCTCTCTGTCTGCGTTGATGAAGATGTAATCACCTCACCATGATGAGCTACACCATGTTCCAAATTATTATGCAAGTGATATTTTCTCAGATTTTCTTAAATGGTCAATGCAAATGATGATCAGTATAATTTTCAAGTCTAGAACTATTACTGTATAAATCAAATTTCACCGAACAAAGCTCCCCATCAGAACAGTATTTTTTAACAAATAAAAAACTCAAAATGCGCTGTTCCAAATTATTATACACAGCAAACTTTCTAAACATTTTATGGATTATACAGATAGTAGCCAATGACACAGTGGCATTCCTTGCAGCATGAGATGATGTCCGTCAGTTGTCATTAAATATCTCATGTTTCATACCTTGTCATATGGCTCTACACTATCTGATGATGTTCGTCAGCAGAGATCCTTTCTCTTTCCCATAATAATGGGAACATTAGTAGATTTTCTTTAATTGAGCTCACTAGACAGCTCTCTGAAATTAATTACAGGGATTCAAAGAGCCCTGACACACAATACCATCTATAAATTTAATAGCACAACAAAAAAATTAATCTTTATGACACTTAAATCCAATTTGCATAATAATTTGGAACTCTGTGTATTCAGCTATTTGCTCAATAGTTCAGCCATTAGCTGAATTATTTTTCTGCTTTGGACACTTTCAGGCTATAATACCTCTGGTTATATTTTCAAGAATAAAGAAGTAAAACGAAATGATGATGCCACAACAACAGTAACTTTCCCTGTTATGATTTGAGAAGAGACGATGAATTTGACCTCTTTTATCCACACACACACACACACGCACACACACAACCACCCACACGCACACACACACACACACACACACCCACACAACCACCCACACACACACACACACACACGCACACACACACGAAGCAAAACAGTGGTAGGTCAAAACCAACACACATACTTCAGAGATGAGATAAGACCTGAGGTTAACCCAAATGAAATTTATTCACGTTTAATTTATTCACTTTTACACATGTTTTTTTTTCAACCGATATAAATCAGTTTGACAGCAGCTTATATAAAGATTGAGGTTTTTAATTCTGCGTCTGCTTTTCATGCTTGCTCAAATTGGCCTGGTCTTTAATCTACATGAACACACACCTTCATTAAACACTCTGAGGGTGAAGAGTGCAGCCAGATAAAGCCAGCTGCCACTCATCTCTGCAAAGCACATCCACCAATAAGGTCGACCACGAGGAGATGTCGGCACTCAGGAGCTGTCCGTCAAGCACGGGATTCTGTTTCCGCCTACTTCACAATCGAGAGATGAGAACGATTGTGGTTGGGGGGCTGGGGAAGGACGAGTGTGAAAGATGGAGCCCAGGAGAACCATGATTGAGACAGATGACTGAAGAAACGGAGGGAGTCAACATAAATTAAATATATAGAGAATCCAAGCCACCATCCTACAACTGAAAATGCAAACAATAAAATGAAGGCTTTTGACCTTTCACCTATTACTTCCATTCTTCCCTCTACCCGTCTTGTTTTCTTTGTTTGCTCCCCACACCTTGATTAGGTTACACAGATTAAATTAATTACCATGAATATCTTTCAGAATTGAATTTGTAACACTCAGACAATACCACATTGTTGAAAATAAATAAATAAAAATCATGCAACATACTTTTGGTAAACACAACCCAAATTCAAAAAATGTAGCAAAACAAAAGAGCTAATAACAGCAGTTGTTCCTAGAAAACATGACGGCTGTGAGGTCACATGCTGACATTGGTGAAGAATGAAGCCACTCGATTAAACCTCCAACTGAGCATTTATATCACTCTTTAGTAATTAAAAATAAACATATATAAATTTACTCATACTATGTCTCTTTTTGTCCAATGTCAAGTGATGAGTTATGAGTGATGAAGGAGTCCCCAGAGGTCCACCTTTGTCCTCGCCCAATCTCTTGACATGGTGGTGGAAGTGACCCGAGTCGAGTGCCGTCAAGAATTCATTACCCGCAAAGAGACATATCCGCGTTTCGTGGGATGTGCATCGATCCTCCATTTCCTGTGTGAGCTGATGCAGAAATGCAGCACATAGCTGAGTTGGCAATAAACTAATTTGATTTGAGTCCAAACCATCCCGTTATTTTCCCATTGTACACGAGCCACTCTAACTTCGAAAAGAAGGACAACTTATCACCTCACACGATTGAGACAGAATTGTATCCCAGAACTTCAAGCTGTTGAAGTAGCATTTGCATTCATCGCACAAAACACTCTCTGACTTGGTGGCGGACAGTGACGAACGAGTGTGGTGCGCTCTGTTGGGCGAATAGCTTTTGATTTGTAAGTATTATGTGGGATTCCAGTCTGTGACTCGGTCGGCAGCTGTAGCCTCTGGCTCCAGCTATGATCCGTGTGTTAATACTTCAGTGCCATAAGTCTTCTGCTGAGGCCGCTTTCTGCCAATCCCAGGGACAGCTGTGAGATGAGGAGTGAGAGCGTGACAGTCTTTTGAGCTGGCAGATAGAAACTGTCACCTTGACTGGTCTCATACATGTCTGGAGGTATTTCTGTTGAGTTGTTTTTTGTTTGTTTTTTCCGACTCAAAGATATTGTGACTTGGCATGAGATTCTGAGAAATAAATTAGTTATTTCCCAAATAGTTTAAATACATACAAATCCTACCGCTGCTGAAATTGTGATATTAATTACTACAATTATAATATTGTCATTAATCATTTTTATCAAACGTACATTTGATTTTGACACATGCTGGCTGAATGTAGTTGTAGTTTTCAATTAGGGGTGTAACCAAACTAAAATAAAAATCACAGTACAGAAATTGAGATAAAGAAAAAGAAAATATTTTAACAATACACACGTCACCTGTTTTAAAATATCTTACCAGTCACGTTTTGATTTGATCATTTTCTGATTTTAGTGTTAGCGGCGTTCTAAGGTGCTTCCTTTCCATGTCTTCCAAAACATTATAAAGGCTTTAAAATCTCAAATTTTGTTCAGAGTACCTAATTTAAATTCAATCAGTCGTAAAAAATTCCTCCATTGCTCGAGAGTTGATCAAATGCAAATCCAGCAAGGTTTCTTTAGCCAGATGCAGTATCCTCAGTGTTTCTGCCAGCAAAACGAATTACTATCACACCAACAATTTGACTTCTTTGGTGCTTTATTTTTCCAAAACAACAAAACGGGTTTCCCTACCAGTTTCCCCTTGTTTCCAGCAAGGGTGAAGTGTGGTAGTGTTCTTTCAGCTAGCTCAGAGGCAGTGCATAAAAGTCTCTAAGTGGAGAGGAAGCACTAAATTCTTTAATGCCCTGTACAAGCAGATAAAACTCCAGTAAAACTTAGCAATATTCAGTTCACTTTTTTATGGGTAAAACTCATTAAAAACCATTAAGAAACTTAACGCTTAGCTTTAAACCTTCTAAAATTTAATGATTGGTTTTTCAAGCCATGTTTTATCTACACCAAAGGCTTTCTGAGGATGACACTGAGAGTTGAGAAACTGCAGGAGTCGGTACAGCCTCTCTTTTACTGATCGTTAAAGAGAATATCCCAACTGCATTGCAAGGGAACATGCTATGTTCATGTTCCTTAAAGGCAGTGAAATCTCCTCTTTGACATCTCATTTAAAAAAATTTAACCACAGGAACAATATGAGTTTTGAGTGCATAACTTTTTAAAACTAAATCATAGCTAACAGCTCATTGCCAGTTGTGTCCATCGTTGAATATAGAAAGGACACAACTGGCAATGAGCTGTTAGCTATGATTTAGTTTTAAAAAGTTATGCACTCAAAACTCATATTGTTCCTGTGGTTTAATTTTTATTATTTTTATTATTTTCTTTTTTTTTTTTTTTGCACACTTGCATATCAGGCATGCAAAGAGTCTGTTAGTTACCCTGTTGTCTGGAAACTTTACACACTGTCTTTGTGGCAACATGCAGAGAAATCTGACTTGTGTTCTCCCTTTATATCCTCTTTATAATGCTGAGTTGCCATAAATACAGGACTTCGAGGAGGCCTTATGGTAATTCACCCAGCTTGTGGGGCAACAAAACTTTAATTAGGCAGAATGCCAACCATATGGGGCAGCAGGTAGGCTTCCTGCATGTGTGGTCCAAACACACCCACACCCACACACACACACACACACACACACACGCCCACGCACACACACACTGCCTTGCTGGGCAGTTTGTGGTGATAAAATGAGCTTACAGGTCTGACTTGGCTACTTCCAGTGGGTTCTGGTTTCGACCCAGAAAATGGATTTTAGCTCCAGTATGTAACTTTAAAACAAAAAACAAAACAACAAACAAACAAAAAAAAATTATATATATATATATATATATATATATATATATATATATATATATATATATATATATATACACACACACACACACACAGCCTGTCATGAATGCTAAAGCTAGTTAGCATGGCTAAGACAGAAAAACAGATTTTCTCCCCCTGGTCTGTTTGTTGTACCATATTAATGCTATGCTTGCCTAACCGCACTTTCTGTGAAATGCCTTCCTTGATGCACAACCATGGCATGATAGTGGAAGACAAGCAACTTTGACACATCATGTTTGCTTGGGAGAATGACTGGATTATTGGATACTGCATCCAATGAAGCATGTTTAAGACGACCTCCAACTTTTTTTTTTTTTTTTAAACTTATTTTTTATTGAACATTTTTTGAACACACATACAGTGGAGAGGCATCATTACATTCAACTTTATATACAATGTCGGACAGCCGCGTCAAAATCTAACTAGTAACATGAGTGGCATTTTTCCTACGTCTATAGTCGCTCCATTTTCTCCATTTAGCAACAAACTTGGCCTCCTGCAGTCTTAGTCTGTAAGTAATCTTCTCCATTACAAAGATCTCTTCAACAACGCACAGCCAACTTTTCACCCCAGGGGGAGTTGGTTTACACCATAATTTTGTGATGGCTTTCCTCGATGCAGTAAGTAATATTTTTAACAAGTATTCATCCTCTTTGAATTGCATCAAGAGTGAGACACCCCAGGTAGAGTATTTTGCACGTCCTGGGTATTCCTTATCCCAATATGTTTTTCAAGATAAGACAGACATTGTGCCAGTATACCGTTAACTTTTGACAAGACCAGAATATGTGCGTGTGGCCTACATCGGTCTGACCACAAAGTCTCCAGCATGGTTGCGGGTTGAGAACCATCCTGGTCCTGATCTTTGGAGTTATAAAAAATCTAATCATGTTCTTCCAATTGAATTCCCTCCACACCCGAGAGCAAGTGGTCGTACAATTTCTAACTTCCATGTCTTTTTTGCCTATTTCCAGAGTTTTCCATTTGGAGAGATAGTCACCATTGCACCAACACACTAGAGGTCTAATTTGAGCGGCCTAAAAATATTCTTTTAGGGCTGGTAAGCCCAGGCCACCTTTGTCTCTTGGGAGTTGAAGTGTTTTATATTTGACACTAGGTTTCTTCCCGTTCCATATAAACCTTGAGATCCATCTCCTCCATTCTACAAATTGTTTTTGCGGAATATTCAATGGTAGGGATTGAAATAAGTATAGCAGTCGTGGTAGGATATTTATTTTAATTATCTCCACTCTAGAACTGATTGTTATACACTAGAGCCTTATTATTTAGTATTTCTTCATTTAGTCTCCATAAAGTATTATTCTTCCCGCTATCCAGATGGATTGTAAGATAGATTGCGTTATGGTCGGAAATATCTGAAACTCCAATCCTACACTCCTTCACTCTGTGAAGTTCTCCCTTGTTCATTAGCATATAGTCAATTCTGGAATGAATACCATGCGGAATTGAATAGTGAGTAAAATCTTGATCCAGGGGGTGAAGTTCTCTCCACACATCTATAATTGCCAGTTCTGACATCATGGTGTTCATGTACCTGCTGATCAGTTTTTTACTATAATTTTTACTTGTAGTATCTATCCTATGGTTTAACACAGCGTTGAAGTCCCTGCTACATATCAATATTCCCTCTGCCTTCAGGTTGATGAGTTGAAATATTTTCTCATAAAAGACCTTGTCACTCTCTGGAGGAGCAAAGACATTGAGCAATGTGATTAACTGATTTTCCAATTTGCCCTTTATCATCGAATATCTTCCTTCCTTTTCCACAATTTTCTTCAACAATTCAAACTTTACACTATTTGAAATCAATGTCATAACTCCTCGTTTATGCCTTTCCCCGAATGAGGAGAACGAGTTTGCATATCCTAAATTTCTATACCGTTCATGCTCTTTTTTCGTTAGATGTGTCTCCTGTAGGAAAATAATCTGCACTTTTTCTTTACGAAATTTGGTTAGGACCTTATCCCTCTTTTTGATATTGTTTAAGCCATCGACATTCAATGATACCACAGTCATAACATTAGACATTACTATCATATCTCGGTTTGAATCTCGTCCTCTCCACTTGAACTATAAACAAGAACTAAACAAACGAAAAAACTAAAAACACTGAACCCCCGGTTAAGTATGGGCCATATCCCCAAGAGGCCCTGTGATGGCTCTTGGGAATATGGCCCAAGAGCCATATTCCTCTTGGGCCATATTCCCAATATGGCCCTCCCTCATACTGTTGGACTCACCTAGCAGGTCAGGGACACTCATCACAGGTTCGTCCATAACCGCCCTCTTTATGAGAAGATTCCCCCCTCCCCTTCCAACAGGGCTTGGAAGGGGAGGGGGGCCATCACAGCATATTACAGCATATTAGGGCCATTGTAAATGGAAAGAAATTGAGTAAATTTCTTTCCATTTACAATGGAAAATGTAGATAGGGGTCACTGAAGACGCGGAGGTGATAGGGGCATACATGGCCCATTAAAGAAGGGGGATGGAAGGGACTATAGTCTTCTCTAAAGTTTGTCTAAACAACGACAGGGAGATCCACCAAGCAAGGGACTGTTGACTCACCTAGCAGGTCGGGGACACTCATCACAGGTTCGTCCATAACCGCCCTCTTTATGAGAAGATTCCCCCCTCCCCTTCCAACAGGGGTTGGATCTCCCTGTCGTTGTTTAGACAAACTTTAGAGAAGACTATAGTCTCTTCCATCCCTCTTCTTTAATGGGCCATGTATGCCCCTATCACTTCCGCGTCTTCAGTGACCCCATCTACATTTTCCATTGTAAATGGAAAGAAATTTACTCATTTTTCTTTTTCAATTTACAATGGCCCTAATATGCTGTGATACTATTAGAAGAGATCGCAAAAGATAAAAACTCCTCCATGTCCCTAGAGGGCGCCGTCATTTTGGACACTATGGAAATGTAACATTGTTTCTGAAACACCTGTAGCCGTTCCTTCGCTCGGCTCCTCGCGTTCTGATCCGCGCCCACAGCGGAGGATCCTTCTTCCATCCCTTGTTTCTCTTCCCGATGCGCTGCCAGGGTGCCTCCGCCTGGATCCTCTCCTCGGGCGAGGGGCCTGCGTCGTTCCCGTTCTCCTTCCCCAGCCCTCGTCTCCTCATGTCCGCCGCAGCCTCCTCCGCGCTGTTGTAAGTCTTGATCCCATCCAGTGGATCCGTATTTTAGTCATTGGGGTCTGGAAGAGGATCTTTTGGTCTTTCAGAACCTTTTTAATCTCCGAGTAGGATTTGCGTTTTTCTGTTACCTCGGTGGGGTAGTCATGGTCAAAAAATATCCGCTTCCCCTCGACTTGGATTTTCCTTTTCCATGCTTTTGTCAGGATTTCTTCTTTGGTCTTGTATTTGAAAAAATTAACCACTATGGATCTGGGATTAGCTTCGGGTGGTGGTTTCTTTCCGAGGCTTCTGGATCTGGCTAGCTCACGATGTAATAGCTTCTCCACCATTTCTTGGACTAATTCACCGTCTTGCTCAGCTACGTTGTAAATCCTCATGTCGCAGCGCCTGCCATGTCCTTCCAGTTCCTTTAGCTTCTCTTGTAGTTTTCTCTGTTGTTTTATGAGGTTCAGAATGACGTCCTTCGCTTCCGGGTTGCACTCTTCCAGCTCTGCCGGGCCCCTGGGAGTACCTGGACCCGCCCTGCCTGGTGCCAGCTCCCTGGCACCCGAGGAACAGGGCGTACCCCAAGACCATACTCAAAATACAGAGGTCCTGGATCTCGGACTTGGGGCTCCAGGGTACGGTTCCAAGGGCCCAGCCGGGCCCCTGGGAGTACCTGGGCCCGCCCCTACCTGGTGCAGGATGTCTGGTTGGTCGTAAACAAGACTGTCAAACTGGTGTGGTTTAAATTGCCTTTTCTCTAAATATAATCAAGGTTCATTTTCCAAACGCTTTCCAGATCCAAATTCCGCCCGCAATTAGTAAACCTGCCCCTAAAGCTGCTCCAATTCCTATAGTCACATGCTTTAGGAATTTGCTCGATTCTTTTTTCTTGTCTTGATTTGCTTTCATTTCTGCCTCGTTGATTTCCTTCACCTCCTTCTGTTTTGCCATCTGCAACTCTTTCTTGACTATCGTCACTTCTTTTCCTAAATTGTCTATCTGACTTTCCAGCTGCAGCATTGTGTCTATGATTTCAATTGTTCTATCAATTCTAAGTTTTAAACTTACACTGGCCTCTTCCAACATTTTGTGAAGTAGTTCAATTTTTCTCATTTTGTCTTTGTCCATATATATCAATTTGGAGTCCAGCTGCTGCAGCTTGTGTATGTAATACAATGCTCTACATAGTCTTGAATTTATAGTTTCCATATGAAAATTGTCATCTGAATGGTGATTTTGAAGCCCTTGTGCTAAATTTTCAGCTGACATGTTGTGTTGATTTTTTAAAATGAACCTAATTTCAAAGATGCCATCAATTAACTTGTCCAACTTTCTATCTATTTTCATCTCCTTTTCTTCATCCATCTGTGGTTTTTTGGTCATGTCCTTCTCCTCCTTTTCTCTCTCTGTCTGAGTATCTTTCATCAGTTTCATTACCGCTTTCTGTACATTTTTGATCTGGTCGTCAAGCTTTTCTAATTTTTGCTTGGCCTTCAGTGCTCTATTGAGTCTCAAATTTAAACTTAAATTGCCCTCTTCAATTAATGTCTCTAACACTTCAATTTTTGTAATTGAATTCTCGTCCATCACGGTGATGTCCAGCTGGTGCAGTTTATCAATGTCCTCTGCTGCTCTCCAGATTATTGCATGAACTACATCATCTTCACTAGCCATTATGTTTCCAGCTTCCAAGATGAATCTTATATCATTCATATAATCATTTAACTTATCCAGCTGTGTATTCATTTCCCTCAAGATCTCTGAGTTGTTCTCCATTTCCGTCGTAGTTTGTCTGTTTGAACACGAGACTGGAATGTTTGAACTCTTCACTGACTAAATGTGTCTTGTGATGAGCTTATGTTCAAGAATGCAGAGTTGTGATGTAATACAGAAAAGCGTGATGTCACAAATTGATGTCACAGCCTCAGTAGATCAAAGGGCAAACTCATCAAGTTTGAATGAAAACATATTTATTTTTACATATTTTTTAACGAACCCAAATTTATCTACAGCAACTTAGACCAGCTGTAAAGTTGTTCATGCGTGATTTTGGTCATGGTTTTAAGGAAATGTTAACAGATATATCAATATTGCGTTGAAGAAATCTCGAAACTTAACACATAATCTGTTTTTCCAAGAGCTCCATCTTTTCTGTCCTCTTTCGTTTCTCTGCTCTCTGAAAAATATCTGGTTCATTCTCATTAGCGTCTCATTACCACGCCCTGCTGAAGCAGACGTCAGCAGCCGGCCAGAAGGTGGCGCTGGTCTGGTCCATGTGGAGGAGCTGTGTCCGTTTCCTGTCGAGCCTCTGCAGCAGGAGCTCAGAAAGTGTCTGAACACTAAAGGTAGAGAGAGTCACTGCACGCTGACACACACACACACACACACACACACACACACACACACACACACACCCACACACACACGCACACACACACGCACACAGATAGGTTCCCCAACATGAACTTCTTGTACATGTTGATGCAAGTCGTTCAGTAAAAGTGCTCTAAACAACCAGACACAAAACTCTGTAGAGATTTGGTGGTAAAAATCAAGGCCTCCGCAATAATCATTGTAAAATACTGAAGATAATTTAGTTCATTCAAGCCTTTAGTCCTTTGAGATCTTAAGATAAAAAGGGCATTATAAATAAAATCTATTATTATTATTTTTTTAAACCACTAGGTTTACATTGTGGTTTCAACATGTATTGTGTGACTTAATAATACGCCTGGTGTCTGCACAGAACAGTGGAGTTGGCATTAATCCTAAATCAGAAGCTGAAAGCAAAAAAAAAAAGAAGAAGCATATATCAGGTTTATTTTTTTTTTTTTTTTGCTTAATCTGTTCGGCAGCAGAGTGAGACTCCCAGACTGCGTTTCTTCAAAGTTTTGTGTATTTTTGACAAGCTGTAGTTAATCCGTCCACTGAAATCTCCTGTGTAGTCACTCAGCCATGGTGACGGCACAGTTGGATTTGCAAAATTGTGATTGTGAAACGTTTCCATTAATTGGTTTGGCAGGAGTAATGCGGGCCTGCAGATGGTGAAGTCTCAAAAGTCCAGTGCGAGAACTAAAAATCCACCTAAACATAATTTCTTAAAAGATTTGTGAGGACGCGACTGGGAAATCAGTTTAGTCGTTAGTTTATCGCCGGAAACAACATGAAAAAGGTGGTTTTTGAAAACGAAATGCCTTGAACACAACAATGTCATTTTTAATATTAGCTATTGTGCTTAAGCAAATGACTGCATAATGGGAATTGCTTGTAGTGGTGCTTGTAGTAATTATTTTAACAAGCCATATTTATTTTAAACTGGACACCGTCTCTCATATTCGTCCTTGAGGTTTATGCGGTTGCCGTTTTCTCCCATGGGAGGCGAACTGGCCAGCAGAACAGAAACTGTCTGGAAATGCATTTGTATGTTCTGGCAGAAAACCTCTGAGTTCTGGACCGAGTCCTGCCAACTGGCTTCCTGTGCCTTCACCAGCTATTGTTTTAGCAAATTGTCTCGCAGATTTAACTCTCTACTCTTAAAAAAAAATAAATAAAAGCAAACTTGAATCTCTCTACAGACTCATTTTTTAAAATGTCGATCAGATTTGAATGGGTATTAAGTTTTATTATTGTCCCAATCGATTATTGCCCGAGACGGTAAAATCACAGAAGACTGTTGGAAGCCAACGTGAGGAGAAAGGTACGGTATTTGCCAATAAAATCAACATCTACATATTTTCTGATATCTTGAAGCTCTACTTCATGCAAGTCTCCCCTGAAAAGAGACCCGATCCAATACACCCACTGTAATTCTGTGAAAAGTTTTCCATTAGTCGCTTTTTGTGTGTTTTTAAAAATGGCAGATTTAAGTCTCGTAACTGAATCTCTGTTGCGAGACCAGCAGTCTGCTGGCGTTTCATTTTCAGCTGGATTCGGGAAAAACAAATAGAAATTGAGTCAAGTCGCGTCAAGCCATGCAGGAAAGGGATTCGGTTCTGAAGAGGGGAGCTGTACTGATTGTGGTGGGAAGTGGCAATTTTGAGGTCCTGGTCGCAACTTTTAATGAGTTTTAATTGTTTAATTGTTTTCTGTCCATCACTCTGTCATCCACCATTGACCCTCCAAAAAACATCTTCATCCTGATCAGGTGAGGATTCATCTTGGCCAAGTTGGTGGACGAAGGTCAAACACAATAATAGAGGCAGGAGAGGTGGTGGAATAGTGGGAATGACAAATGGGCTGAGTTGGGGGGGTAAAAAAAAAGGATAAGAAGAGCTGGAGGGAGCTAATGAAAGCGTGGGAGGATGGGTCAAGATGGAGGGATGCAGTGGATTAGTGAGAGTTAATTAAAAAATAGTCAGAGGGGTATAGAGTGAAGGTTAGACAAAGGTAAGCAGCAAGGAAGAGGCGATTAGACAAGCGTGTAGAAAGGGAAGTGTCCGCTTAGGGAAAAAGAGGAGGAAGGCTCCACAAAGGGCAGGTGAACCGAGGGAGGAAGACGGGGCGAGGCTCCGGAACGATGAACTTGCGAAGCCGTAAGCGTGGATCGGAGACTGCAGGGAGGAGATGAGCGGGAGCCTGAGAGCGGTGCCAGAGCTGTCCCGGGGGTGATGAATGAGGCCATAATGAAGTATCTTTGGTCTTCTGCCGCCGCCGCTGGCCGGAGAATAACCGCAGCGCTGGCACGGCCGCAAGACCTACTTAATCACAGCCAGGGAGCACACCCCCATACACACACACACCCATACACACACACACACACACGCAGACAGAAGTTTCACCACACTTTTAAACACACTAAAACTTATGACAGATTATACCTTCCTTCCTTCCTACCTCCCACACACACACATACTCACGCCTTTACCTTCATTTTGTTTCCGTCTTGCCACCATGACCAGGGGTGGCAGGAGTGTGGGTTTTAGTGAAGCAGCCCATTGTTCAGTGTGACAGGCTGGAAATGCTCCAGGACATTTTGTTTTGTTTTCTTTTTTTCTCTCTCTCTTTTCTTGCCCAGACTCACATGTGTGAGTGATGGAAATCAAGACAAATACTACATTCTTCCCCTGCAGTAAACAAGTCATGTTGTCTTGCGGTTCTCGCCGCCATCACCGGCACACACGCACGCACACCGCTATGTCAACCTGCCAGCTTGTTGCTGTGCAAAGAACAATGCATCTTCAGTGCAAAGAGAGAAGAAGCCTGTATCGGTCGGCCACTTGTTTACATGTGTCTGCGCTCCAGTCTGTACGCTCGTTGTGTTTGCGATCCAGAGGATCAACAAAGACATCTGCCACTTGCATGGAAGGTCTCGGAGAGGATGTCAAATTAGGGCGCGTATAGATTAAAATGTTTGCTTTATGTAAACGAGGTAGCTGTGCAAGACCTGAAGTAGATCTCCATGTTTCTCTGTAGCGCAGATGTCTGAAAGCCCGTGACGTCAGCCGTAAATCGCAGTAAGAAGCAAAGATCTAAACACCGCTGTAGGTCTGTGAAGATTCCAAAGATTAGAACGAGGAATTTACCTCAGAGTTTAAAACATTAGCCTCAATGTGCATTGTGTTCCAAATTATTATGCAAGTGATATTTTCTCAGATTTTCCTAAATGGTCAATACAAATGATGGTCAGTATAATTTTCAAGTCATGAAAGCCTGGGAGAATTTCACTGAACAAAGCTCCCCATGACCACAGTATTTCTTTCAAAAATAAAAAACTCAAAATGCACTGTCCCAAATTATGATGCACAGCAGATTTTCTAAACATTTTATGGATTATAAAGAACTGCAAATGGTCATTCTTTGAATGTGCAGCATTAAGAGGCCACATGTACTAAAATCAAAAGCTATTTCAATCAAAAACATGTTAACAGACTGAGTTACATGTTAACGTAGGACCCCTTCTTTCATATCACCTGCACTATTTTATTTATCAAATTTGCACATCCAAAGACTGAGTGTTATACTCATCATTCTTTGTGAAACAACTTAAGCTCAGATGGTGTCTGCGACCCACATGTTTCAAAGCTTTTCACAATTTTCCACCTGAGTTTAGGACTGGTGGTCATTCTGACACACAATTTAGCTTTAACAGTGGCTTTATGTTTACTGTTTCTACAAGCATTGCTGCAACCCCACAGCATAATGCTGGCACCGCCGTATTTAAATGTGGTGGGTTGTGTTCACGTGGATGTGGTCTATTAGTTTTCCGTCATTAACATGATACATTTTGGTCTCATCCGACCAGAGTACATTCCGCCACTTTTGTTTTGTTGCCTTTATAGCTTGTGGAAAGCTGCAAGCAAAGTTTTCCACCAGCCAAGGCCAAAGTGGATCTCGATGTTTCTCTCTGAAGCCACGTTTGATGACGTTTTGCTGTCTACAAATTTCCACATGTGAGCCATGGATCTTAGAAAAAGGTTGTGCTGGATTTTTATTTCGGGGTATCAAATGCATACCTCTCTGTTTAGAGTTTTATTTGTAAAAAGTCTGGAAACCTCATGTTTCCATGTTTTTTTTTTTATGTTTTTTTTTATGCATAACGTTTTGTTGGCCTTTCACACAAAACCCATCTAAGTCTGTGATTCCAAAAACATGTGAAACCAAGTTATGAAGCTTCGGCGAGGCTCGGCACGTCTCCCATCCAAGCTCAAGATGTCTGATGGATCTGATGTGTCTCTTCACGGTGGTTCTTCTGCTGTCTTTTCTTGATGTGACTAAGAAAAGTCTACCAGAGACCGAACAGATGTTTTTTTAATTTCAAATGCCGATTGAAATTCACAGTGAACTCGCGGTTTGCTGTGCATTTTTCCTAGGTCTCAGAAATTTAAGTTCATGTCAACA